ATGTTCTGGAGGAGCAGTAGCTCTGAGATCTTTCAGTTAACTTTTTCTGCTAAGAAAAGCTAAAACAGAGACATTTCTTGCAACTTTGCAGGGGCAGTTTTCTTCTGTGAGCAGCTGCCATGTTCCTTCCAGCAGAGGATGCTCTGGTTTTGCATGTCCTTACCACTATAACATCAAGATATGTACAAGAAGGAGCACAGGGCAGAGTCCTTCAAACTCAGTGTTTGCTTCCTGAAGAAATCCTCTCCTGGTTTTAAAGCATGGGATTGTTACCCTGGGGAAGCATTTGACACCTTGAAAAGTCAAGCAGTTTATTGATGTCTCCTGAAAAGGAACCAAAAATATAAAATAGAGGCTCCTGCCTCTATGATTTGTTCAAGATCATGCAGCCAGAACTAGTAAAGACTATCTCCTCTTCAGAAACACTCTTGATTTGATGAAATTCATGTATTTGAAAGCACTGGCCAGAGCTGAGAGTAGCAAATTATGTCTGAAATGTGCCTTTATGAGCCCATCCAGCTCCCACAAAAATCAATAGGATCCTGCCCGTGTTCAGCTCAGAGCCTGGAAGACAGATTACCTTCCTGGGAGTGATCCTTCACAACAGAGCTGCCTGAGCAAAGAAAAGGGAGAAGTTATTTCCCCAGCAGATGTGTTCCCTGGGCCAAATGCTCTGAGGTTCTCTCTCCTGCCACTCAGGCACAGCACAGCTGCCCTGCTTTCCAAAAGCTTCGTGCAAGTGTGGGGCTGCAGGTGAGCACTCTTTTCACCCTGACCCTGAAAAGCCTTCCCTCCCTAAAAATATGAAAAGTCAAGAAAGAGATTAAAAAAATAAATAAGTGTTTTAATAACCTGGCATTTAGGAAGAAAATGGCTAAGAAGAGTGAAAGGGATGCACAGCCATTCTCCTTAGTCTTTTGCCCTCCCCTCTGAGCAGCTGCTAATTTTTTCTGCTCTGTAAACACTGTTATTCTGTGAGCAATGCTGAGCTCCTTGCTGTTTCTGGAATTAGCAGAGCTCATTGGAGTCACCTGGAGTTAATGCTGCTGGTTTTTAATCCCCTCTGATCTATTTCAGAACCCCTGGTTGTGGTAGGATGAAAGTCACTCGAGTTCTGAGTTCACGTTTGTTGTATTTCCCCTGTGGATAGATGGGGGCCCTGCTGTGGAGAGGCCTGGAATGAAGTCTGAGATCCCCCATGAGTGGCAATCCCTGGATTTTAACAGGGCTGAGTTCACTCAGGCTCTTCAGGAAGACCCTTCTGTATGGCAAACCCTCCGCAGAATTCAGGGGCTTGAGCTGAGCCCTCCCCAGAGCTGGAAACACTCCTTGCTTCAGTCCCTCCCTCTCTACACAGATTTCTTCCAGGAGATCTCACTTTTTTTGACCCTCACACCACAAGTGAGGGCCCTGCCAGCCTTTCAATTAGGAGAATATCATATTGTCACTTGTCAGGACTCAGCTTTGAAGACGCTGGAGACGGCAAACAAGAAAAAAGTGAAGACTCTGCTTCAATCCAGAAACATGGTCCAGCCCCAAATTCACTGACACAAACCACATTTTGTAGGAAGAGGGCTGGAAACTGAAAAAAACCCTCAGGATGTTCACAAGGATTAAAAACAGACTCAGGTGGAGAGGTGGAGGTGCTCAAAGGGGTTTCAGTAGAAACAGGTTTTGCTTTTTGTTGGCTCCATAAGGCTGATATCATTCTTTGTGACACTGGGCTAGGAGTTTTATTCACACCTCCTGCCAATTCCTGTTATGCATGTCAGTTTTGGTTGCCTGTAGTAGGGTGTCTTATTGATGTCACTTCTTTTCTGCAGTGCTACTGCCTGGGAGCATTTGGTTGGAAACTCAGCTTCTAAAAGCTAAACAACCTGAGAAGGTCAATCCAGGAGACACAGATCCACAACGTGCAGTGGGACAATGCAGAGTTTGCCCCTGTCTTAAGGTGAATTTAAATGCCTTGAGGGGAATGTTACTTAAAGTGAGCCGGCCAAACCACGTGGCCAGAATATGAGCAAAACTGGAAATAAAACTGCTCCTGTCATCATTGCTGTAATAGCAATTAGGGACTGGGAAAAAGTATAAGGGGAAGCTTTAGAGTCATTCACTGGAGACATTAGGACAAGATTATCCTAATCTTCAGTTATAATATGTTCCTTAATGACAGAGGCAGTGAGATCAAATGTTTTAGCACATTCTTACCAATAAAAGTGGGATTTCTTATGGTAGTCTATAAAAAGCACTAAAACCTATTGCACTTCTGTAGTTTTGATGTTGTTTTCAAACAAAAAAGGCAGCAGCTCCCCAAATGTAAATCTTGGCTCCAGCCTACTCCCCTAATGACCTGCTTTGTCCATTGATTCTACAAAACATTATTCAGTCACACCAGCAGCCAAAAAAACATGAATAAAACTTCTTAAATCTATGTTTGCTTCACTCAGTTCAATCCTAATACTCAGATGCTTTACAGTACCTTTGGTGTTCTAAAATGAAAGTCGTACTTTGGACTGCAGCAGAATTCAGCTTCTTGGGAAACAAACGCTTCCATTGCACACTTGCTATTTCCTATCATAATATGAAATATGTTTTTGAAGACAACTGCATATACATCAAGTCCCTAAACAGTTCTTTTAAGGCACAAAAGAAGCTGGAGGTTGCACAGAAACTTTTAGATTTGTTATCAAACTTTAAGTGTTGTGCAGCTCAAAAGTGATCCTAAATACAAAGATAAGAGAGACCCTGTTGTCTTTCCTGTAAAAACACAGCCTTCTCTTCTTAAAAAAGCTCCAAGCTGAGAAGAAAATTAATTCATTCTTACAAGGACAATGGTGAGCAAAGTAACAGCTGCCAGAAGACAGCATCTTCTTGAAGCAAAACTATTTAATTTTACAATATTGCAAGGTTCCAAAGAAAAAGCTTTTCTAAAAAAAAAAAATATTTCATTACATCACCTTTTACTCCCATATATGTGGAAAAAAATCTGATTTCTGTTATAAAGGAGACACAATGGGCAGTAAATTCAGTGTGCCAGGGGCAGATGTCAGCTGGAAGTGTGAACACCAGTTCTTGAACTTGCCAGCATGAACATTCCACTTTTAATTTCCCATGCTCAGTCATGTGATGAGCTCAGCTCAAGCTCTGAGTCCTGTAGGGGTGGGAAAGGCTGTATCTCAGCAGAGCAGCTGCCTCCCTACCTGCTGCTGGTTGAGCAAATGAAAAAGGGAAAACTTGTGGCTTTTTCTTCCCCTCCCTCTCTTTGTGTTTGGTCTCTGGAAACTGAGCCTGCTGTGCAAGGACAGAGCTGCTCACCTCCTGTAATTTCAGCAAAACTACCAAGGATGCTTCCCAAAAGCCTGGGCAGTGCAGCTGCCCATCACATCCTTGCTTCTCCTCAAAAACATCTTCAAAACTCTTAGTGACAGGCTCACTGACACAGCTTTTGTGCAGAGGTAGGCAACTTGCATACACACAAAAACGATGAAAGAAGGTAATCATGCTTTTCCTATGTAAAGTTTCAAATGGAAGTGGAAACAAAGAAAGAACTGTAATTAAATTTCCCCAGGCAACCCCTTTTGTCATTCCAAAAAAAATATGCCAATTAATGCTAAATATAATATTCCAAAGAAATTCTAATAACATTAACACAGTTTTATCACCCTTCAAAGAAGAATTTTGTTGGATGTGAGTCAGTACTGAAGGCATTTGAGCACAAGTTTCCAAGAACAATATACATATTGTTTCCTAAATTCTATATACTAAATCTGCTGTTGTAGAGGATGGCATTTGAAGACAAAGAGCCATTGAATCTTTTCCTTTTGGCTGACCTCGTTTTGATTATAGAATTGACAATAAGCTGCAAATATTTATTATGATAATCTCTGCTGTTTGCATTTTAGTTGCTATTAAGTGCTAAGATAGCAGGGTAGACACTTTGCTATAAATACAAATCAAATTCCAAAACTAATAAACAAAGTCAGTGGGATATTGTCTAGAAAATGTAATCAAATAATACTCATTATCATCTCCCAAATTTTCTAAGAGGCTGAACAAATCATGTTAGGAAGGTGCAGTTCTCATTGACATTCCCTGCCCATACCTGGGTTTTCCCATGTGAACTCATCTCCCCAGCTCCCAGAGTGAGTCCCAGCTCCTTCTGGGGAACAAAGGTAGCCTCTAAAAAGCAAGAGCCTGTCACCATTTCCCATTTTTTTTTCCCTCATTTAAGGTTGGAGCTGTACTGGGAGCACAGGTTGATGTGTGTGCTCTCAGCATCACCTTGTCACAAGTGCTGGGGCTCATGTGACAGCATCTCAGGGACTTTCTAGAGCATTCAGTATGAGGCACACACATCACTTGGAAGGGGATACATATCAAAAATGCCTCCTTTAACCTGAAATAAACACCACAATCAGCAAAATGCATTCAGATACCATTTTTTTTTTCTGCAAAGGTAACTGTTTCTGCCCCTCCCCAGGTTCTGGATAATGCCTGTTGATAATTTGATGTTCTGTTGGGTAGGAGCACAGAGAGCTGTTTCCCACTTAGGTTCTGGAAATTGGGGCAGGCAGAGGGGATTTTGCCAACTGTACCACTCACCAAAGGGACTGCTGGCAGCCCAGGCAGCATCCTCTGCAGAGCCTGAAAGGTTTTACTCCACAGCTGAGAGTCCCTCCCAGCTCATTACCTCCAAAATGAAATTAAGGGCATCCTTATCCACAGGGTAAATCCCACATAGCCAAACACTCCTCTGAAATTTTGACACAAAATTTTGCACACAATAGCACTAAAATAATAAAGGAAACAATGCACAGACAGCTGTGCTATTTTTTAACAAATCCTTACCCGACTTATATCCTGAGGACAGTAAAACATCAAAAGCAATTCTAAAGTCAATTTGACAGTATCACCCTTGCTAATGCAATCAGATATCCCTCTGTTTCTTTTTGAAAGGAAGTTAGGCTGGAAGAAAGTGTACCTGCTTTCCAAGGGGAATGCCTCAGCCTCAGGCAGCACCTTCCTCTGCAGAATTTTGCTGTTCCACTTCTAATTCCAAACTCTCCTGCTACCAGGGAGGCACTTTTGGAGGAGAGAGGGAAAAAAAACCACTCAGATGAAGCATATTTACTAATTCCAAACTCTCCTGCTACCAGGGAGGCACTTTTGGAGGAGAGAATAAAAAACACTCAGATTAAGCATATTTAGCTTTTGGGGTTTTTGTTTTTATACAGAATTAACAAGCATTTCAAAGTCTCCTTCCACCAGAGACTGCATTAGTGCATATTCAGGAATTGGTCTAACTTACATTTCAGATCTTTAGAGCGTGTGAAGAACTTTTAATGATGGCTTCATTGGCTAAGTGGGGAACACTGTGGGGATGAACAACTGTTATGGTGTTATGTAGGATAAAAAGCCATGTCATTCCTGCCTAGATCTACAAACATTCCTGAATTTCTTCCTGAATGGGAAATTAAATGTGCTAAGTGGAAAAAAAAATTAAAAATCAAACCAAGAATCTTTAATAATTTGCTATTTTCAAAGAGATTTGTGTCAAAGGTTCTCCTGTACACACTCTAGTGTATTTTTTTTAATAGTTTCCTCTTTCCACATTATGGGACTTCATGTTTGACTTCAACCAGAAGAAAATAATATTTTATTATAATTTTTAAGCAATAAATGACTAAAAAATATACAGGGGAGAATCCCAAAAGCCCAGCTCTCTTTAAGAAAATGGTGATTTTGCTTTGCCACTGGCAATGGGTAAACTGCAAAGAACACAACATCAAACTCTCGTAAATACTTTTAAAAGTTACACTCAGCCAAAAAAATTTTTACTAAAATACATTTGATATCTCAATGGTATCTGAAATATAAATCAATATTTAAAACTAAGTAAATCTTAAAATCCTGCATTTTTCATGGAACTGAGTAATAATTTTAATGACATTATAAAGCTTAAATGATTTTGGTAAAAGCTTATAAATATGGAAGTCTAAGCATCTTTTCATGGATAATAAAGACCAGAAGAAAATACAAATAAGCCATACGTTTAAATACAAGCTTATTTCTATAGGGCCTAGCTAAGATCTACACATTACCACCCAATTACTTCTATGGGATAAAATGCCAATATCAGAGTGGTATTTTTACCCTGTTGTTTTGTCCCACACAATCTCTACCTGAACCCATTTCCTTCTCTCCTGACCGTTACTTTCATCTCCTGTATCTTCAGACCTCTTTCTGTGCATTTGAAGTTATTCTTGTTGCTCAGCCAAATCTGGGGTCTCATACAATATGTTTGATATAGGAATAGAGAAAAGATGTCTTTCTCCAGGTAATGAGTAATTTTTCTAGATGGCTTTCTTCCTATGGAGAGAAAAGCAAATGAATTTTTTGAAACTGAATTTTACTGAATTTAGCCTTCGCACACTCACTTCTTTATTTCAGATTTTCTACAACCCTCACTAAACCTGATCACAGTAATTAATTACCACATACCATCCTTTGAAAGCACACGTTGGACTAGCCAGACAAGAGGTTTGGAGATTAGCAGCCCTTATTTAAATAAGCACCACAGCATTATCTGCTTCCCAGGTGCCCTGCACAGTAAATTCACTGAATTAAAGCCACCTGACAGCAGACAAGCAGCTGATCCCCGTGCTGCTCATGGGCTTCAACTGCATTAGTTAAGAATCATCCAAATAAACTTCTGGTGTTACAAGGAGTATCCTAAATTACTCCAGAGCAGGGGGGTTGCATGTTTCAGGAGTATCTTCATTAAGCCTAGGGACAGACAACACCGTGCCCACCTGCTTAGATTTCACCTTCAAGCTGTGGCACATAAAATAAAGCCCTGCATCTCAAATACAGGGACTGTCCTAATACTGGGAACAGGTTTAGGACTTACATCCAGCTGAGCAGCTTTGGCTTCGTGCACAGCATGGCACACAGAGAAAGTCAGTCAGGATTTTCCACTAACCCATCCTTCCTGAATAGAATCTAACTAATTAAGAGTCAATTTGATTCAATTACAGCGGCAAGCCAAGTTCCCAGAAGACAGAGATGAGGCTGATAAGGCCTTTTGAAAGCACAAAATCTAGACTGCAATTATGTTTTACAAGGCTCCCCTTCAAAGAGCTGAGTTTCCCAGGGGAGGTCTCAGCAAGAGGGCTTGGCTCTTGCAGGTGGCCCCAGCCCCACACAACATCCAGGTATCAAAGGTGTAGCTCTGTCACCAGTATTAGCAACTCCAGACAATTTCAAATATCTGGAGCCACTAATTATCTCGGAGACATTATGGAACAACTACATTTTAATTTTTTCTTATGACTGAGTTTGCTTTGAAGAAGAGCATTTCTTATTCAACCACTAATTATCTCGGAGACATTATGGAACAACTGCATTTTAATTTTATTTTTTTTCTCATGACTGAGATTGCTTTGAAGAAGAGCATTTCTTATTCAGTAATATTCTCCTAACAAGGTGTGCTTCAGCACTGATTTACATCTGTGACTGGCTGTGTAAATTACACTGCACACAGAGGCTCAGGTGCCTCTAACACCCTGTTTTCCATTATTCTGAGTAGCCAAGCAATAAGTGTGTTTTAATTGGAACCAGAAACACATACTTGATGTGACCAGGAGTGCCTTTTGCAGTGGTACTGGGTGGCTTGCATTTAGATCCAGGCTTCCCTGGAGTTTAGAGGTGAGCATGTGAGCTGCAGCTAAAATTAATATTTCCTCCTTCTGAACACTGAGATATTGAAGCAGAAAAACAATCTTATTCCATGGCTCACCCCTCTGACCTGCATCCTCCCCAGCTAACAAGGGCTGGGGGAGAGACACTCTGCTACTCATTTATTGATGCTGCTCAGAGATTGCAAACTTCATGTTGTTGCAAAAGTTGCAAAGGCTGTTTTTGATTTAAAGAAATCACAAACATCTCTGGCACTGACAACTTTGCCAGCCCATCTTTCATTCCTGAAGGGTTTAAGGAAAACCCTCACCAGCCTGGAAGGAGCCCTCAGTCTGACACACAGCTCAGTGACAGCTCAGAAAAAGGTCCCCTTTTTTTCTAAGAGTTAAGATCAAGCATCTCCTCATTATTTTGCAGTTGTACACATTTTTCATCTGTATTAAATATCTTTCCTCCTAAATGCTGTCAGTCAGGTGCAAGTCGTGGGATTCCAGGGTGAGCTCTTCAGTAACATCCCAACCAACCTTGCTGAAATCTACCCCCTTGACATGTGGCAACCCTTTTCTGTGTAGTGAAGAATTCCCCTATCTTCAAGGAAAAGCATTTTCAATATTTGGGGCTGCATAGTTCTCCAGACCAGCACAATGTCCTCACCCTGTTATGAAGTTAATAATAAAATATTAAAAATGTAATCCTTTGGTATTAATTATTTCTGCTGCACTATTAAAACTGCACTGAAACAACATAATGCAGAAGAGAATCACCTCCTCCACATAGAGAACTCCATGGTTTAACTCACATGCCAATAATCTTCCTCAGCTGACAGACTGTTGGGTTCATACAGACACATATTATTAGTGGCATATTGCCTGCTAATAATAAAAAATATGTGAGAAGTGGAGCTGTAAATCATATTCATGGCTCATTACCATCTACAGTCCTACTTAAGTGCTACATGTGGTTTTCCACTCCTACTCCAAATGGTTTTGCACACCTGCTTGCAACTAAAAATCGATTGAAAACTCTGAAATTTGACACTGCAATGTCCAAAAGTACAGCTAAACCTGTAAAACTGTATCTGATGATAAATCAGTGAAAGTCTAAAATCCCACACTAAGGCAATGATGACCATTACCAAGGGGTAGAAACTTTCTTGAATTCCCCAGCTTTGCACACTGAGCAGACAAATGTGTAATTCAAAATTATCCCCACATTGCTGAGCTGCTCCTTTATCCTGGATTGTTTTTATTTTATTTCAGGGACTTGTGTATCCCTAAAATAAGTTGGTTTCTCTCCCTTAAAAAATGCTATAGAGCTGACATAGCCCATTTTTCCCCCCACACATTACAAACAGAAATCAGAAAAAATGCAGTATATTCAGTACTGCAAATATAACCTGAAACATTGGTGGTGGAACAAATTAGACAAATTTAATTTCATTTTTCACATTTGCTCATTTAGCCAATAAACAGAAATGGAACTCAAATTAGCTTATTAGAACCACTAAACCAATACATTTCTGTTCTGGAAATAGGTCATATGTCTCACTTATGAAGAGTTATTAAATAGAAACCTTTCTCAAAAAAATCTCTTAACAGATTCCCTTCCCAAACATAACAAATGAACTCATAAATAGACACAATATTCATAATACCTAAAGACTTATTGCTGTTGTAGTCTCAATGCATTCTTTTAGTGCATTCCAACTCTATTCAGACTGCCTTACAGCTGGCAGGATAGGGCAGGAAAAAAATCACCTAACAATGGAAAAACTATACAAAATGTCATTCAGAATGTGGCATTATGTGAAAATGGGGTGGGAGACTCCAAGGTTACCTGAAACAAAGCTTGGGGCATGGAATTTCATCCAACATCCACACTGGAACAGGCCAAAATGCCTGTGTGCATTGCCTGTGTGCCCATTTTCAGCACCTTCAAGGCCAACAGGAAAGTGAAATTATTCTCATAAAGAAAATATAATTAAAGGATTCAATGCACAATTCAATTTTTTTCCACTAAATTTTTACTGCAATAATCATAATTCTTTTGCTGGTTTCCTCCCCAAGGCAAAACTAATTTGTCCTAAAGGATCACACAGTGCTGGTTTCCAACTCTGTGGTCTGGTCTAAAAATCAAACACACACCCCCCCTCCCCCCTTGACTTCTGCTGGGTTTCATGTCAAACAAATTCTTTCCAACATTGCACAGGGACAGGACAAAATATTTCAGAGATGAAAATAAAGGTGTAGCCAGTGATTAGACAAAAGACAAGCACATCCCACTCCCTTCAGGAGGCACAGCAGTAGAAATCACAGCTAAACTTATCAGTAGCTGATTTCTTACCCCCAGAATTAAAGCACTTTATTTTAAATACACTCACTACACCTACTCACACTGAAATGTGGAAGTTCCTGCAAATAAGAAGAGGCAATTACTTGTGCAAAGCAGTCAGGATTAATGTTAAATTTACCATCTGATGATGTTTAAAGAGCACTTAGAACATCATTCTCTCTGTGTGTTCATGAGAAAATGCTGGTTTTCTTATTAATTAGAATTTCATTAGATGGGTATAAATGATAATTTGAAGCTGTAGGAACTTTTTAGGCCTAGGCATGGGATGTAATGGTCTGAGTATGTGGGAATAACAATTTAGGTCACACAGACCTTGCCTGTAAAACTCCAGGTTAACAAGGGGTTTTAGTTCTGATTTACACCAAAGGTGGGGAGCACAGAATCATAGAAAAGATTCCTTATTTACCTTCACCTTAAAGAGGATGTGTAAAGCATTCTTGCTGATACAAATCAAGATATAAATCAATATATAAAAACACCAGCAAATTGTCAGGTCCCCAAAAAGCAATCACTGAAAAGAAGGAGAAACCCTTAGAATCACAGAATCATTAAGGTTGGAGGAAATCTCCAAGATGGCCAAGCCCAACCTTTGACCAAACACCACCCTGGCAATTAAACCACAGCACTGGATGTCACATCCAGTCATTCACTGAACACTTCCAGGAATGGTGACTCCACCACCTCCCTGGGCAGCCCATTCCAATGCTTGACAATCCTTTCCATGAGGAAACATTCCCTGATGTTTAACCTGAGCCTCCTCTGGTGTATCTTGAGGCTGTGTCCTCTTCTCTTGCTTGTTTGGAAGAAGAGGTCAGCCCACACCTGGCTACACCCTCCTTCCAGGGATTTGAGCCTCCTTTTCTCCAGGCTGAACACCCCCAGCTCCCTCAGCCTCTCCTCATAGTATTTACTCTCTAGATCCTTCACTAGCTTTGCTGTCCTTCTCTGGACATGCTCCAGTGCCTCAAAATCCTGTTAAAATAGTAGAAATCTAGCTACAGGTTTTTTTTGGTGGGCTGCATTTCTGGAGTTTATATAAGCACGTCTGGGGAAAAAAAAAAAAATTAAAAAAACCCAACCTACTGCTAGAGGTGTTTATATTAAAAAAAAAGTAAAATTCAAAGTACTGGCAGCCAAAGCAAGAAGCAAGGAATTCACCAGAAATAGTCTGTGAGGGAAGTTAAGAACCATCTGCTTGGAAGAAGTCTTGTAACTGCAAGGAGTCTCTAAGGTACCAAAGAAGGCTTAGGTTTCACTGCAAGATCAATGAAGAATTAAAAGAAAATACAAGTGTATGCAGAACTGTCCAAAAATCAGCTGAAGTGAAGTACTCCTGATGCAGCATTTCTCCTGCTTCAGTTTTGCTTCCAGGAGCATCTCCTGTGACAGCTGGAGCTGCTGCAGGGGTTCTGGCATCACAGGCTCTTGTCAAACACTTCTAAATTCAAGGACCAAATAAAAGGGGGGGGGAAATGAAAAT